CTTCTCATATCTATATACATGTCTATACGTATATATATGAAATTCTATATTCAAGTAGATAATTTTTTCTGAGATGGATATATTCTTGCGACGGTTCATTTTGCGATATCTCATTGCTCTCAATGACAGCCCCATTGTGTTGATGTTTCAAGGACTTCATTTCTGTCCGTGCAGTTGTGTAAATGTGCTTTGAAGCAATATTAGCCATATTGTGTGTTGATGTTTCATGTGCATTTATATCTGTGGCAATGGTATAAGTTAGCGTTGATCCACCTCAGCAAAGTGTCATAAACATTTCACGTACATATTTGCTGCAGTTCACGCTCACACTGTGAAGTTCACTGACATTCTTGTACATCTAGCGTAGTGAGCTGATAATTAATTCCGTTGCAATTTCGTCTTTATCGCTTCTTCACTCAACAATAAGTTCGTATACTGCCGAATGCTTCATTCATTATACTTGTGCGGCTGTAGATTCTCCTATCATGCAATTGCGAGTAAAATGTGTGTGGGGAGAGGTGGTATTCTCTGCCTACTTACGGCATCTTTATTGATCTGTTGTGATTAGATAGGGAACTCAAAGTTATATGATCTGTATCCACACTCGCGAGCGTCTAATAAGAAATAAGCTATGATTTTAATTTCGTATCACATAGGTTGCTGCTCATATATTGTAACGTCTCTGTCTCTAGACTCTATGGAGATTCCTTTGGAATTCGTGTACGTCCATCCAGCACACACACAGCGACTGAATTACTTATATCTTGATTAAGACGTTTGCGACCCTGGATGCAAGTATGATGTGCCTACTTGTACCTGTATCGATATCACGTAGAGAAGGGGCAGTCATCATAATCAGACACCCCCGAGGTAACAAACTGACGGACGGTGAACCCTACTATGTGAATTATTCAAGATTTGCCATCGAAATAGTGGCTTTCGACGATATCTATATCATCACACCCCAATATAGCCGTGGAATATGTTCTCAATGAAGCTCGTGCGATTGTCCGAGTAGCCATGCTATACCATAAGCCACACTGTGAATGGGCGAGCTGTGCTACTTTGGCCTGAACTAGAGCGCTGTCAGATATTGAAAAATAATGTCGGTGCTGGGCTATACAATGTGGCTCATCAACTTCTCGCCAACCAGTAAGCCAGCATAAACAGAAACGCGTATTGAAAATCTTCTCGCATCGTGTTGTGAAGCGTGGAGTGCGACCTCATCATCCCTCGGCGTGTATCCGTACTAAGTCATTGAGCACCACATTGTGCTGGGCAAGGGAGAATGTATGGTTGTGAGTATCACAATATTGATATAATTAACAGATTGTCTGGAGAGGAAAATCTAAATTCACAGTAGTGCAAACGCGGCGACAATACTTTCAATACGAACACACCACGCGCAGCCGGTCTAGCCGTTGTTCGTATTCTTCGGCTTGTGTCTCAAGCTTCTCCACCTTTTCGCTGTAAAAGGGATCAATAATTGGAATGAAACAGTGCCGCCGTATTCACAGCGAAAGGAGATTGTCACATAGAAAGTACGATCAATTCCAGCCCACGGATTACTTTGGTGAGATTCGCCCAAGCAGTCTGACGTTAAAACACGAGGAGAACTAAAGAACTAAAGAGTTATAAATAATTTTGACTTCAGTTAGAAGTTATATGGTAAAAATGGCAATGATCGAATCTCAACGGGTTTACCGGAAACCAGATGCATCTTGTTCTATCCTAGCCTGCAGGGTTTTGATACTATCATCCAGTTGGTCACCTTTCTGTTGCAGTATGCGTCTCTTATCCCTACAGGGTGAATAAAATACAGCGACGCCATGTCATGTAGTGGATAGTTAAGACAGATAGGCAGCCATAGAAAGCATACAGAAACACTGCAGACAAGCACTATACTGGATTCGAGAACCTTTTTTTTTTCAGTGCCCGACAAAAACTTCTGCCATGCCTTACATACATTGTCTCGTCAATCAATGCCTGTTTTGATTCTCTCAGATCTTTTTCTGACTGATACTGTTTTTCCCATGTGTTCAGAGTGGAAAGTGATAGATCCCACCCAATTGCCGAATTCACCAGTGTTTGACTCACGGCGTTAGGTGAGTTGAAATCACTTGTGGCGTCCGTGTTTACCCAGCGGTAACGGCCCTTCATCTCACCCTGGTAATTTGTTAAATCATTTGGAACTTGAATGTGAATGACATGGACGGCGTATACATGTTTTCCAGATCACTATAGCATTGACTGGCATCGACTCACGGTGAACATTCGATGAACATTTTGGATTTGACTCGCAAATTACCTATTGAGACCAGGGACGAAATCTTAACAGTAATTGAACTTAGACTGGGGTTAGCAACAACATGCTCGGCAAATCGGTTGGGTAGACACCCAGGCTATTGTCATGATAGAAATAAAGTTTCGAGGTGATGCGCAATCGAAGTCACTCCGCATATCGGGCGACATACCTTCAAGTGCATCAGGATACCATCAAACGTGAGAGCCACAATCTCATCAGCACTATCTCTCAGCAGTGTGAGCGCAACCCTGAAGAACAACTAAGCGATGGCAAGTAGAGTGGCCGTGTAAGCCAATGACGATATGCGCCTTGTATGTAAGCTGATACACATTTAGCAATAAATATGGAAGTACCATCCCGTATCTCATTTTTACCGTATGTCACCGCATACACCTGTATATTGCAATGCGTCAGAGGCAAAACGTCGCTAACGATGTCAGTACGGACCTAGACCCTACAGTAATAATCCCATTCTTTACACCTCGACATACCTCTAGAAATCCGTGGTATAGGTCCGGCGATTGTCCAACAGCTAATATATAGTCCATTATATGGAATACACATGGAAGCGGGAGACTCGGGGCAAATAATGTCATCAGCCATTGGGTCAAAAACATCGACACATTTACACCTGTATATGTGCTGAGTCTTTAGTGGACGCTTGTTTGTTTGAGAGAACAACACAGGTATGGTAGTCAATTGAATAATATTTAATACTTGGTCGCAGTTATCCCAACTAACTGAAGTTTTGGCAAAGTCTTCGCTTCAGGCCTTAGCTTTAGCAGATACGAGGTGTGATACTGAGAAATTCTAGTGCGCATCAACGTTATTAGATAGTAAACGATATAAACTACCAACCCCTTTACCCCCCATCAAGACACCATTCAAATGTGCACAGTGCTGAACTGACCTTCTCGTTTACAACACGTTGCGACATCGGGCAAGTGCTGCTCCAGTAAGCGCTCAAACTGGTGACTCCCAAGACCCACCAGCGGTACTCCTGGCATGAACAGCCCTCGGAGCCCATAAGTATCCATGAGTGTTACCAATACCGAGAACGCGTCCTCTTCGGGCATCTACATGTTTGGATGATTAATAAGAATGAGCCTGATATTTGGCACACGATGTCCTATAATCAAACTCGTATGGACCGATCTTTCACACTTTGACATGGGAAATAGAGGCTAATTACCAAATAACAAAAATGATGAAATTCAGCCCCTTCCCCTTTCAGATGGTTTAGAAATTGCAGATTGCTGCAAGAGGCTTGTACAGCACGATACATGTTTGCCCCAAACAACAAGCCCGTGCCTAAAATAGAGTACACAGACACATACTTGCATAAGTAAAATTCCCGCTACGAATGCCATTCCTTGGCAGTAACCATTCTCGACGTCGTGCAGCGCGTAAGCCTTCATCAAGCGGAACAGTGTCTTCTGACCAACTGATAAGGGACATGTTATGATTAGAATCGGCGATTGTAAGCCCAGTATCAAGGTTGAGGGTTGTGTTGTGCAGCTTTGTGTAGTCTGCCAGACAACACTCGTGGAAGAATGAACACTTAATCATACATCACTTAGAACGTTGAGACTCTCTGATAGTGTGATTTTTAAGTATCCGAAATCTAGTTAATATACGTTTGAGCAGAGCGGGAGTTACCGAACGAACAACAGATGTGCGTGGTTTCAAAAACATGCAGTGTGGACCCCGACGACGACAACTCCAGTCAGGGACATGAACAACTGTGTGATACCACTGGCTTCAAACGAGTCAACGGAAACGCCCATCAACTCACCAGCGTCGTTCTTAAAGAGTTCGTGTTCGGGGAAGGTGCGCGAGAGATCTTTCATGATCTGCCTATCATATGGTGATTCCAGCGGGATAGATGACACGTACTCATGCTTCAGATCTGAATTATGTACGCCGGCCAACATAGGCCAAAGAAGGCCTCGGAATCCATCGTTTATGCCAAAGTCTGGCCAGGTACAAAGGTTACATATTATGTCAGCGCAGGATTGTGTTGCGTGCAATCCAAAACTTTAATTTACGTTCACTCGCGTGATGATATATTCGAAATATGATACTTTTATGCTCGGTTCTGGAATATAATTTTTCTGCAACCGTGTGTCGTAGACACCTGTAATAGTACATACATGTATCACATATACATATATATATATATATATATATATATATGTGTGTGTGTGTGTGTGTGTGCGTGTGTGTGTGGTGTATATATTATTATATA